GTACGATCTAAGCTTTCTTTTGAATACTAGATAATCAAGATAGCTTTAAAATTCATCGAGATATGAACTGTGAAAGTTGAGGTATTAATTTTTTTTCAAATATAGATCTGCTTGATTTCTATTAACGGCAGCCCATATATTTTGATTATTAATTAATATATCTTTTTAAAGATAAATAATTTAACAGATTTTAAAAAAAGATATTTTGTATTCTAGAAATAGATATATCGAATTAAATTCTTTTGAAATAAAATAAAAGTTAGTTATATTGATTTATAAATTTTTCTTTTAAATTCGAATTTGAAAAATTTTAGATTTTATATATAAATTTAATTTCAAATTTGAATTTATATATAAAATATAGAATCTTTTAAATTTGAATTCAATCTCTATTCTTATAGCTTTATCTAATTATATTTTATTAATTTAATTATTAAATAATATCAAATTTTGATATAGATTTAAGTAGCAATTCTAGTCTGCAATATTTCTGATTACAAGCTCTCAGCTAAATACATAAAATTTTCTGATTTTATTTATTTTTGAAACTACAAAATTACAAAATTTTTGCACTATCACTTCGCTACTTAATACTATATAGTATAAATTATAATATTTCAAATAAAAATATTCTAACTATAATATAAAACTTTTAATATGTATATGATTATACTATTTATTTATGTTTATGTTATAAAAAATCTAAAATAATACTAAAGTAAATTTTTAGCACTATATCTAGTTTTCTAATAACAAATTATATGAATCAGGTTGTTCAATATTATCTTGAAAAATTTGTAATAAAGGCTACTTAGCATCTTGATTAGTAGCGGGATGAATTATTTCATCTATTTCTACTAGATCTAAATCCTCCTCAAGTTGTTCATTTCTTAAAAGTGATAACCAATTTGCAATTATTTCTTCCCATTGTGCATTATTATTAATGCTATTATTATTAACTTGGTCAAACTCCAAATCTGAATCTTGAGACTGATAGTTTTCTTCTGAATCGGAAACAATAGGTAATATAATATTAGGATTATGAATTTGTTTTACTGATTTTTCAATAGATTTTAACTTGCGTTCTTGCATTATTTTGCCTCTTAGTTGACTCATTTCAAGAACCTTCTTATACTAAAAATACTTTGTTAGTATTTTTAAATTATATAAAAATAAATACAAATCACTCTCATTATAATGAAGTAATCTATTCTATTAATAAATTTTTTTAAAAATTTATTATATCGAAAGTTCACTATAATGAAAGTGGCTTATAATATAACAAAAATACTAAAATCTTAAATTACAATCCGATAGTACTAAATTTTATAAAAATATAGTTTAAAAAACTAATCTTAATATTAATCTTTAAACTAAAATATAATGAAATATATATTAGATTTAAGAAATTTTGTATATAATAAATAGTTAAGAATTCATTTAATTTGTAATTATTTTAAGTTTTACAAATTAGAATTATTACAATTTAAATATTCTTAACGATTTATAAGTTACCTTTCGAATTAAAGATAGTAGAATTTAATATTGTTAATCTGCTATTAAAAAAAGAGTTTAGGACTAATTAATAGTCAATAATTAAGAAAAAGTATAGTAGTTAAAAAAAATATAGAATTATTGTTATTCGAATAAGAAATATCTTCATAAAATTTAACTTACTTTGCAAAAATTTATTATAATTTTTAATTTTATGTATCTAATTTATAAAACAGAATTTATTAATACTTAGTTATTTTTTAAGTGAAATTCTTTTTGTTATTCTATTTATCTTAAATATATAAATTAAAATTTAATTTACTTTCCTTAAAAAATTAAAATTTAGAGTAAATTTTAATACTACTACTACATGAATATAAGTATAATTATAGATATTAGTAATCTAAGTATCGCAAAAGAAAAACCTTATAAAATCTTATCTAAACAGATTCTTTCTTTGCGATACTTATATAAATCTTTAAATAATATTAATATCTATTATATTAATTAAAGTTTTATATTATAAAACAAAAGAATTTGTTTTTTGAAATTATAGTACTATCGAGACTATGATTAGATTTTAATATATTTAGCATAACTTACCCCAAGTCTATTTCTACGCTTATTATGCAAGAATCCCATTGTTGAAAATAATCTTTCAACAGAAGCACTATTAATACAAATTCCAAATAAATGAAGTGCTAGATTTGCAAGCTCTTTATGAGTTCCACGTATAATAAAGGACCAATACTTAATTATATCATTATCGAATTGACTAAAAGGTATCATATCAAATGGTGAATTATTAGCTAAAAAGTCTTCAAGTTCTAACAAAATATTTTTTGGTCTTATAGAAAACCAATTCGTATAGTAATAAACTGCCCATTTTCCTAGCATTGGTGCTGATAAACCATTTAAATGAATATTAAGTTTTTTTAAACTATAATTAGGATGGAGTAACCAAGATAGTAAAAGAAGTGGTTGTTCCCATTGGGCCCAACGTTTCTCTAAGCGTAGTAACATATGTGAGCGAAATAGTGAATTAGGCTTTTTTTTGAATTGTATCTACTATCTATGCATATGCATGCATAATATCATATAAGCGTGCTAATTCACATTGAAGCTTGTTAAGAGTAGCACAAAATGGTAGAAGAATTTCATCAAGCTCTTTTAAATCATTCCAAAACACAGAATCGTTGATAATTTTAGCTATATCAGATGGAAAATTTTTATCATCTGAGTTAATTGAATTCTCTATATTAGTTACAAGTATCTAATAGTTAGTAACAGAGATTAATATTAAAATAGAGTTAATAAACTAAAAACAAGACTGCAGATATTAATGAATACTTCAATTCTATTTTATTCTAATATCAATTAACTAATTAAAGCGATATATAGTTACTAATAAAAGTTTTGATTAGTCAATTAGCATTAGAATAAAATAAAATAAAAGTATTTATTATCTTTAATTATGATCTTCTAAATATTTGCTCTTATAAAATATTATATAATATAAAAATAATTTTGTATTACCGTTAATGCGCCTCTAGATTTTAAGATACTATGAAAGCTATTATAAAAACTATTCCATCTTGTATTACAAGGTAATATTAAAGCGTATGCTTTTCCATTATAAAGATTTATTTGTTGATTATGAAGTTGACCTAAAAAGTAAGTAGACATATTAAAACAACTAATAATTTTTATAGCTTGATTTGAAACTTCTTTATATCTTTCTGAAGATTTAAAAATATCTCCCACACATAAGTTTGCTTGATGAGCAAAACAAGGTAGAAATACAATATTTGTATATTGAGCACGTAGTTTCTTTCTAATATAAAAAAAGATAAGTTATTTTTAATTAAAAATAGTATTCAATTAAAGTATATGTATACCGTGATTTAACATTTTCTCCTGCAGAATCAGATACAACGCCAATTACATTAATACCATTTATAGCTAAATCCTCAATATATCGCTCAGTAAATGAATTTATATTAGAAGCACAACTTCTTTCTGAACTAATATCTTCAGCATTCCACACAAGTGCTTTACCTTTAGAAGTAATAAGTATAGTTCCCATTATTTTTTGTTTAACTACATTCTTCCATCCATCGAACACTAAAGTAACACCAACATTATCATCTTTTGCTATAAGCTCAAATTGCTCTTTTGTAATATTTACTTCTTTATTTAAAATAGATCTGCTTAATTTGTGACGTGAAGGTAATTGAATTGAAGGATTAGCAAGTTTAAAAGCAGCTATGATATCATCATCTTGTATCCATTTGAATGGTAATCCACTTGCTACTGTTCCACGAATTAAGTGTTGCTCAAATTGTTGTTGGATATTATCAGGTAATGGATGACACAAATATTGACTAACACTTAGTTGTTTTTTTCTTTTAACCGGTTTAGTTACATTTTGAGATTTTGTATATTTTATATTAATTTTTATTTAAAATTATTAAGCATAAAGTATGCTATCACAAAATAATAATTTTAATTGCTAAAAAAACTTTTTAGCTAATCAAAATTTTTATTTTTTGACTGTACATAGTTATAGTATTTAATAATGTAATTATATTCTACTCTTAAACATTTACTATTACCTGTTTGTTTAATTTTTTTTGTAGAATCTTCATCCGATTCTTCACTAGATTCATTTTCAATTTGAAGAATTTTTTCTAATTCTTCAGTAGTATATTTGTTTGCAAAGTTTGGACAAGATTTTAGGTGATTATAACACAATTTGCTTTGTTGGTTATTTTTTTAGCTTCATGACCCAAAGCTTCTAAACAGGCATAACATATAGCTGCTTTATTACTTTTATTTGCGAATTCATCAAATATTTTAAAATATTTAGACCATTTATGACGGTTACGTCCCATTATCCAAAATACTACAGGAGCGAATATTAAGATATTTGCTGTTAAAAACCTTTATATAATTGATAAAAGCTAAAATTAATTTAAAAAAAGTAGTTTAATTCAAAACATACAATTTAATACGTGAAAGCTTAAGGTAAGTACAAATAAAATAAGTTACGATTTTTATGATATTTATAAAAATTTTGTTTTATCTGTTATTATAAATAACAAAATTTATAGAAATATGGGGCTTTATTTTGGCAATGAGAAGTATTCATGCAATTTTTTTTCTTATTCTATTTAATTTTCTTTGTTACAACATTTTTTCTTGTGAATTCGAAGCATCTTCTGAATTCACTTTTAGATTTTCACGTATCTAACACAGCCCCCTCTATAAAGATTTACTATTTTTAGTAATATTGCTTATTTTTATATATGTGACTATGAATTTATATTAATTAACTTCTTTGGTTAGTGATTATATGCTCTACATAACAATATCGAAAACAAATTATATTGTACTATACATAACTTAACTAAATTACAATGGCAATTATATCTCAAGTGCATTTAATATGTATGTGAGTAACCATAATAATAAGCTTTTTATTTAGTAAATATAAAATAATCAAACCAAGTTCATTAATGGAATTCAACTTAGGCAAAAATTGCTATTATATGAGTAATTATTTTTGAATGTAAAACTTTCGGATCATGTTCAAAAATAATTACTCATATAACTATTTAAAATATATAATAAATTACAAGTAATTAATCATATTTAGATAGAGATTTGCAGTGGATCCAATCTCTATCCATATCACAAAAATTTGATTAACCTATGTCTTCTCTCTCATTATTATTGTATTTTCGTAACAATGTTGGAATATAAATTAGTGTATCGTTATAAGTCACGGGTTTTTCGCTAAATTATCTCTTTTTCTTTTCTTTTATTATTTTTTTTTTTTCCTTTTCGGCAAGCCATGCCTTATCATTTATTCAATGTAATTAAAAAACTACAAGAGTTACAATGCCTAACTTAACAACCAAAGAAGGCGGTGGACATCAAAGTGCGAACATCAATGGTAAGACTCGACCGGTTACCCAAAGGTACCTATTCGCGACCTGCTATAACGTAGTTTTAATTCAACCTAGAGTCCAGACTAGTTTATCCCTTCCT